GCCCTTAGTCTCCACTGTTGTTGGCTGCCCACCTACCTGCACAGCGGCCTGTTGTGAGCTCTGGGTGCCTTCCTCATCCCTCTCCCCATCTCACCTGCTCGTCGCACAGGTTCCCTTCTTGGGGTACAACAGTCATGTTCCCAGAATACCTCTGCCCCAGAGCCCTGCCAGCTGCTGGGTGCCATGGCACACCTTTTGCCCTTGTTCACCATGGGCTGATGTAGAGCTGAGACCAGCTGAATGCCCACCTTTGGGTTTGTGTCCACCTGGAAAGGAGCCAGTGAGTTGCTGGGCAGCTGTGTGCTCTTGGACAGCTGCCTTTGTGCTGAAGCCGTGATCTCTGCTTGCTGGAAGGAGGCTGCGGCTTTGATCAGCACAACCTTGGCTGATCTGACGTAGCATGTCACCAGCCCCTCGCCAGGGACAGAGGGGAGCTCTGGGAACACAGCCTGGGGGTAGGGACAGTGTGGTGGCTCCCTGGGGGATGCTGCCTGGTGCTGGGGAAAGTTATTTCTCAGGCTGATCTCTGCTTTCTGTTGCTGCAGGGTGTGTGAGCAGCCAGCCTCGATGGAGCCACATGAGTGGCCAGATGACATCACCAAATGGCCGGTGAGCATGCCAGTGGCACAGAACCTGTACAGGCAGCTGAAATATGGCATTTGCATCCCACAGTGCAGAGCCACAGCTGTGTTGGTGGAAGGGGGGGCTCTCTGGTGCAGCCTCCTGCTTGTTGTCACAAGCACCAGATCAGGGCAGCCATGGCTTTGTCTAGCCAAGGCTCAAAGCCCTCCAACAACAAAAGTTCCCCTGTGCTAAGTAAAGCCCTGGGCCCTGCCAGGGTAAGAGAGTGATGGAGACTGACTTAGCCTCAGGGCTGTTTTCATCCCTCTGCAGAGAGGTGTTGATTGCCTCAGGCAGGTGGGGTGTCAGGCACTATCCTGCTGTGAGAGGGAGGCCTTGGGAGGCCTGTATCTGTGGGGCTGGCTTCTTCCCAAGGGGCTGTTTTGACTTTACCTAGGCAGCAAGCAAAGCCATGGCTGTCTGACTGCAGCCTGTTGTTGCTTTCCAGATCTGCACAAAAAATAGTGCTGGGAATTACACCAACCACCTTCACATGGACTGCGTGATTACAGGCCGGCCCTGCTGCATTGGGACCAAAGGAAGGTAATGAGTTTTACCTGTATGGAGAGGGGCTGGGTGTTGGGGTGAGACACAAAGGGCCCTTTTCAGGTTGATAGACACAGCCGTTTGTCCTCCTTGTCCTTCCCACACACAGCCCAGAGCCCTGCTGGGAAGGGGAGTTGGACTGGGAGCTATGACAGGTCTCCCAGGTGGAGCAGGACTCTGGGATGAGGAGGAGATAACAGCCAGCCTGAGTCTTCAGTGCAGCAGGGTATCTATCTTGCTCAACTGGTCCTGCAGATTGAAGGGACTCGGATGCCAAGGGATTAAATACTTCTGCTGGGGAGTTCTGCACTTTTCCTTGGGAATGGCCAGCTTGGTCCTGACAGGCTGCATTGGCCACAGCCTGGAGTCCCTGAGCACGCAAGGAGTTGTCAGGAAATGACCTGCTCTGGGTTTGCCAAGGAGGAAGATGCTGTTCTTCCTCACGTTGCTCCTCAGCTTGAGTAGTTACCCAGTGCCCGGGCCTGGCTTTCCCTGCTAGGGAGAAAAATTGATGTTGCCCCAAGGCGTTTCTCTGTCCCTGAAAGTCATGACCAGGATGCTCTTAGCCTAGCTCCCCCTTTCCACTCTGTCAGCTACAGAGGCACAAGACTCCCCTGGCCCCAGAGACACAGCTTCCGCAAGCTCTGGTGGTACTTTCTCAGCTGTAAATAGCTAAGCTTTAGCACTTGTTTTGGAGCCCCTGCATACAGGGTGTTAGTCTGTGGAGGTGACTCAGGCTTGCCTGTGGGAGAGAAGCAAGAGGGGTGTATGGAGAGCGGCACTGGGCTCAAATGGGAATGTATTAGTGCATCTGTTGCAGAGACACTACAGCATGTCAGGGGCAGCTGAAGGCATCAATTCTCATAGGCAGACCTGGGATGAGACAAGGGGGAGTGGGTGGCCTGGGCAGGCACAGGATGGTCCATTGTGCCTTCTGTGTGTAACTTGTTCCTCACTTTGATTACTTGTGCCTCCTCCAGGTGTGAAATAACCTCCCGGGAATATTGTGAATTTATGCGGGGCTATTTCCACGAGGAGGCAACGCTCTGCTCTCAGGTAAGTGCAGAATTGGGGGTTTGTATGGCTGCCCTTCTGCCTCCTGTTCCCCTTAGCAGCTTGGCAAGATCTGGGGGTGCCTGTGCTGCAGTGTAGGTGGGAGTCATGTGTCTTGTCTCACCCTGAGCCCAAGGGAAGTTGCTGATCCAGACTGTAGTGGCAGAGCTGGCTCCATCTGCCCCTCCTCAGAGACCAGTTTAGGACTTGGGCTGGCAGCTGGAAAAGCCCAACACAGGACCACTGTGGAAGCAGCGGGAGAATGCAACCTTCCTGCTCTGTTGGCGAGCAAATGCTGATGTCTCAGTTGTGTGTGTGGTGTGTTGGGGTGAAGAATGAGGGCATAAAGCTGCTGCAGGGAATAGGTGGGGTCACGTGGCATTGGAGACAAGGGTTGGGACTTGATACAGCAGAGAAGAGGGAGGAGAGCCCCTCTTTCAAAGCTAACTGCAGTCTCTGCCCTGGCCTCGGTGTAAAGGGCCATGCTGGCTGGCGCACCTCACAACCCCAACTTCTGCCCTAGGTGCACTGCATGGATGATGTCTGTGGACTCCTCCCTTTCCTAAATCCAGAAGTCCCTGACCAGTTCTACCGCCTCTGGCTCTCACTTTTCCTCCATGCCGGGTAAGCATAGGTGTAAAACTTCCACTATCTGGGTGGGGGAACCCTGAAACCTGGGACTGCTGTAAGGCTTGTTCTGGCAGTCCCTTCCCTGGGGGACACCGGGGTGCTGAGCTGAGGTTTACCATGCTGCATTTTCTGGGAGGGATATTAGAGACATGGGCAAGGCCAGACCAGGAGCTCTCAGCAAGGCTCGGCAAAGAACACCAACCAGCACAGGGGTGACTTCAGTGGCTGCTGCTTCAGCTCCTGTACTCTGAACTTGGCAGGATCCTGCACTGTCTGGTTTCAGTCTGTTTCCAAATGACGATCCTGCGGGACCTAGAGAAGCTGGCAGGATGGCATCGCATCTCTATCATCTACCTGCTCAGTGGCATCACTGGGAACCTTGCCAGTGCAATATTTCTACCCTACAGAGCAGAGGTGGGTCTCCTGAAGACTAGGGTCCTGGTAACTTGCCCTGAACACAAGCCTTGTCTACATGCCTATGCCTCTCTGGCAGAGGCAGAGACACCACAGCTGGGCTCCCCTCTGCAGCGTGTGCCTTGTGCAGATTTGTAGCTAGAAGATGGCACCACACCATCATCTAGCTGCTGAGCAATAACATGGCCCAGAGTACCCTGGGCTTTCCAAGTGACTGGCCTGGTCTGGCTGCAGTACGAAGGCTGCCTCTCATAATGAATGCGGTATTTGTCCGACCACAGGGTAAGAGAGGCCTGTGGCAGGCTGGGAATTGAGAGTTGTAGCTGGTGCTAGAGACCCTCCGCAAGCGAGTGGCAAGCAGGACAGGGGCAAGGAGCAGAGCTCACCTTTCCCACAAACTGTTCAGGACTGTCCCTGTCCACATGCCACAGCTGGAGAGGTCTGATGTGACTGTCCGGCTTCACTTTAGAAGACTGTGTGGCAGGACCTGGAGGACTATCTTCTAGGTCCTTCAATAAGGAAAAGTGCATCGTGGGTGGGGAGAGCCAGGAGATTGCCTTCAGGGGCTTCTCCTCTCCAGTGAGTTAAACCAGATCTGCCCTTCTTAAATATAAAGCCTGTTCTGGTGATTGCTGGCCTCGCACCTACCTTGATCCTAAATCAAACCAGGCCCCTTTACTCCTTGAACCCCATTATAAGGATGAAGTTGCAGGCTGTGGCATCTCTTCCCCAAGAAACACTGAACAAGGCGTTGAGTAACAACTGTAATGCCTGGAGCTGGCTGCGGAAGCCAGGCTGATGGCATGTGTCTGATGTTACCTGTAATGCTCTTCTTCTGCAGGTTGGCCCTGCAGGATCCCAGTTTGGGATTCTGGCCTGTCTCTTTGTGGAGCTCTTCCAGAGTTGGCAAATCCTGGCACGCCCATGGAGGGCTTTCTTCAAGCTGCTGGCTGTGGTGCTCTTTCTTTTTGCCTTTGGCCTCCTGCCTTGGATTGATAATTTTGCTCACATTTCAGGATTTATCAGTGGTTTCTTCCTCTCCTTTGCCTTCCTGCCCTACATTAGTTTTGGGAAGTTTGATTTATATAGGAAGCGATGCCAAATTATAGTTTTCCAGCTCATCTTCATTGCACTCTTCTCAGGACTTGTGATTCTGTTCTATTTCTACCCCATCAAGTGTGAGTGGTGCGAGTTCCTTACTTGTATACCATTCACAGACAAATTCTGCGAGAAATACGACCTGGATGCACAACTCCACTGAAAGGCAAAGACTGGCTTCTCGAGCAGGCACTGGAGATGGATTGTCTTTGCGTTTGCTGTGCCAGTTCCATGTGGACAAAGCCTCTAATCCAATGACACTTCTAACCCTGCCCGTGGTTAATTTAAACTGTCTCCTTAGCACTTGGCAGGCATGTTTTGCCTTATCTCAGAAGACTCTGAAAACAGAACGTTTGTGCCTTGTTCAATTGTATTGAACCTTTTCTGCTGCCATTATTTTTATTACACTAGTTTCAGTACTACATTTTTAACCAGAGTTGTTTACTACTGCTAAGGTGGTGATTAAATGGTAAGGTAGCGTTTTAGCTACTGTTAATTGTTCTGCATAGTCTGTGGCTACATTTGTTACTTTATCTCACCTATGCTGTTTCATGTACCAGTAGAATCAATCCTTTTCTAGCACCCAAAACAGCCAGACACAGATTTGCAGCTGGAAATAAGGGCCTTAAAAGCCTCAGAAAACCAAAGCATCTCTTTAATCTCTGAAAGTGCATTCCACATACAGCTCTGAGACAGACATTTCAAATAACAACTGCAAACAACATGTGAGAGTGTCCATTCAACTGGAGTTTGTTTCCCTTTGAAATGTTATCACCTTTTCCTCCAGGAAAGTGCTGCATCCACAGTCTGGTCCTGGTAGGGCTGGATTCTCTGCTCTCTCTGTTAAAGAAAGAAAATATTTGGCAGTGACAACAGGTACTGCATGCTGGGCTCTCTTATCACAATACCACACCTAGACAGTCCCGGGGGCTCAGCCAGTGCCATAGGTGACCGCTGGTCATAGGCACCATGGGGCAGATGGCTTCTGTTATGGCACACATTTTATTACACTGGATGTTGCAGATGTAGCAGTGTTGAAAGAAGAAAAAAAAGTAACTGTGGTCACAAAGCAACAGTTTCTAACCCAGCTAGGTGGAGCTGCAAAACAAAAACCCAAGTGTTTGGAAAAGCTATTACCACTGCTCTTCAGAGACTGTCATTGTGTTTTTAGATGTGGAGGGGAAGCAGAGATAATTTTAAACTTACTAAGCTTGAGAGTCTTGGCCACATCTTATGTTTGTGTGCACAACTTTCTAGAAATAGCAGTGTAATACCGGAAATATGTCGACGTAGGTTACAAACAGGTAAATATACATGCTACTAGTGCTTCCTCTGCTGGAAGTGTTCTTAAATGCATCAGCTGGACAGAAATGTCATGACCAAAAGTTGTCTAGTGGTGTGTCCTGTCTTCTGAGAAGAATGAATGGGTTGAACTCAAGTTCCTATAAACCAGAAACTGAAGAAACTGGGAGTGAAAAACTACAGGATGTGTAAGCTGAGATCCCTTTTCCTAACTCCTTATAGCTTGCAGTAATTGAGAAAAATGGCTCAAAATACACCCACTGTGGAACAGCAAAGAATATGCTGTGTTTGCTTGTTGCGTTTGCTTATGAGCACCCATGGGATATTTCTGTTAGGTGCAGGTGCTCTGAATGGTACAGGAGCACTAGGAGCAGGGTGGGAGAACAGCTCCTCAGGTATGAGAGTCTGAGGCACACGGAAGGACCCAAACAACCTGGGTGACAGCAGTCGCCTGTAGCACAGACACCTCCATCCTCCTAGGGATTAATTAACACCCAGCCACATTCCTGACAGTGATTTCCAGACATTCAAGAAGCCTGAAATAAAGCAAGGTCCTAGAAGCAATCACAACAGCAAACAAAGGAATGCTGCATTTAATGAGTCTCAAGACATTGCAGGAGCAGATTCAGGGTCTAAACATAAAGTAGGGTTAGAGCTCCACCATTGCCAGCACTAAGATGCTGCTGCTCCCGATGTATGTTAACTGAAATAGCCAAATTATCATTCCCTGCCCTGAGAGAAGCACAAACAGCACAACCGGGCTCTAGATTCAGACCACAGCCAGGGCACAAGCCTAATGCAGACACAGGCATTCAGAAATGCTCTGCTACGCAGTGGAGAGCAGCAACACCAGCTGCTACGAGCCTGAACACTAAGGCCTGGGGAAGAGGAAGATGAAGCATTGGTAGCTGTTAATGGATATTCAGGACTTACCTGACAGCTTACTTTCGCAGTTTCTTTACGAAGCTGACCTCATCCCGGTTTCTGATGCCATACCTGAACAGAGAGTTCTGCTGTTATATGCCAGTTTCCCAGGAACCATAACCTTTGAAATCCTATAGCCTCCTCTTTCACAGGGGGAGATGGACTCCTATGATCACATGCTGTGCTCTAATACAGGACAAGTTAAAATTCTCACTTGTGTATGTAGAACATGCTGCCAGCAATGAAGGACCTGATCATCTGCAACGCCCCCTGAAATGCAGCACCTATCAATCACGTGTGGCTCAGTCTTTCAAGAACAGCTTTGATTAGGGCTGTCTTGCTAAATTTTTGATACCTGAGACAAGCTTTTCTTGCTGGTCTGCACACAGGCTGGCATACACACAGCAGCAGTGGATAATAGCTGGAGTGCTCGGAAGCACCTCGTGCCTCCTTGCCCTGAGAACGGGCATGGCAAGATGGGAGTCATGGTTGGTGTTGTTAATAGATTGTCTCTGATCAGTGGCTGAGCGGGTCCAGAGCCCAGCACGCTTCTCCTTGGTTTGCTCTTTGCTTGGCATTCTTCCATCATCCTTCCTACCTTTCTACCTCAGCAGCTCTGCCAAGCCTTCTGTGAGGGTGACCGAGCACTGGAACAGGTTGTCCAGAGAGGGTGTGCAGTCTTCGTTCTTGGAGTTATTCAAAACCCAACTGGATGCTGCCCTGAGCAGCCAGCTCTAGCTGACCCTGCTTGTGCAGAGGGTTGGACTAGATGACTTCCAGAGGTCCCCTCCCATCACTTACTTAATGTGTCCTGACCCCATCCTCTGCTGAGTAGCTGCTCCCCAAGTGCTCTCCCTTTCCCTGGAGATGAACCAATGATGTGCTTCATGTCCATGACGCCATCCCTGGCCTTCTCTGTGTTCTACTCCCCTCACACTTGTGCTTTTTCTCACTAACCTTGTCTCTGCAGGATACCTCAGGCACAAGCTTAGTAAGCACAACCTATTCTGCAGGAGTTTGGCGTGGACGGCTAAGGGGCAGTATGTCCAAGTGCCTTGGTGTGGTTTGAATGGGACAAACACACTCGGCACAGGATGGTTGTGGCTGAGGAACCACCCGGGGCCTTCCCGTCCCGCAGACACCCTCTCAGCCTGTCAGGGCAGGGCCTGTCCCGCCTCTGTGTGCGGTGCCGGTGCCATCATCTTCCAGTCAATTTCAAGTGCAGGACCTAGCTGAGCCAGGGCACAAAGTCCCAAGTTAGCCCTGCCTGTGCAGATGCTGTCTGGACTCCAGCCGGGCCCCTCCAGCCCCCAGGACCCAGAAGAGACTCGATTACTCACTCTCTCAGCTTCTTTCTGTCATCTGCCAGTTTCTCTCCGGCGTAGGTTAAGTGGTACGTCCTCCATATGTACTTCCTAGAGGAAAAACACTTAGGGAGAGCAGCAGGAGGAACCGCCGGCCGTGGCAGAGCGATGAAGGGGGGGGGTGAGCAGCCGTAGCCCCCCAGCCCCCGGGTCCCGCTCACCAGCTGAGGTGCTGGACGCCGCCCTGCCGTGCCTGCCGCAGCTGGACGTGCCGCCGCAGCGCCTTCTTCAGCTCCAGCACCGAGGCGTTCTGCACCACCACCACGGCTGGGGGGCGAGGGGAGAGCCCCGTCAGCGGCCCGCCACCCCGCACAGCCCCGCCGGGCC